TAAAAAAAATTTAAAAGTTTATAAAAAATAAATAAAATATTTAAAAAAATTGAAAAAATAAAAACCATTTTCGGTATCGGTTTCGGCCTAACATTTTTTTTTATTTCGGTTTTAAAATTTCCATTTCGGTGCACCTCTAATCAGTACTGTATACAGTACTTCATCCAGCGTAGTATGGTGCAACGCCGTACAATTACATTGCAATGAGCTATGGCTGCAGAACTAAATTAAATATAGTGTGACATTTCAATCAAGTTCTAAAAAATAAATAAAAGTAACCCTGGTGGTGTGCGGCATCGGTACATCTGCACCGCTTTCTCTCCAGACACCAGCAGCCATGCATTTAGCGCAGTTGCTGCTTTGCCTTGACCTTTAGGTCCCTAGCCAGGTCTCTATACAAGTTCTGCACACAAGAAGCTACGTTTATAAACAATGACAATAAATAATGAAAGAAGCAAAAACACACATACCTTTTCAAAAAATATTTCCAACATCTTCGATCTTTTCTCCTCAACGCTAAGACCCCGTTTCTTTGACTAGAGAAAATGGAATGTTTGTATTTTATAATCAAACAACCACATAGAGTACCCGCAGACAAACATTTCCAAATCAGGACACATTTGGAGGTCCGTTTACAAAACAATTTTACACAAGAATCGCACAGCTTTTATTTTACAGTTGAACCGAATAAGAAAAGTATGAACCTTAGGTGAAAGTTGTGTGAAAACCCTTGGTGTTATATCTAGCACATGAACCAAAGGGATGTGGATCAAACCTGCTTCATTTCAAAAAGTTTTAGGCCTCAGCATGTTGGGCCGTTTTTTGATGCACCCGGAGCTGCGGGCAGCACATATAAGTCTATAGAGATGCAGGAGCTGTGCACCCTCACATGCTGCTTCCCACAGCAGCACACAGACGGTGTACGGCCTCAGACTCATACAGGATGCATCCAGGTCAGTACACCATCTGTGTGCGACTATCAAAACTTGGAGCTGCGGGATGCAGCGGCACAACTCCTACATCTCCATAGACTGCATGAGCTGCCTGCATGCTTCTTCCTGCAGCTCTGGGCACATCATAAAACGGCCCTCTACAATGTACGGAGCAACGCGCCCCACGTGAATGACACCACATGACTTATCCATTTCAGCTCTAGAAGGCGAGGCACCCAGATGTTGCTCTTTAAAAAGGAGAACTATGGGGTCAGTGTTTTTCCCCATAGTTCTCCTTAGGGTAACGGGAGGACACAAACTAGCGTCCTCCCGTTACCCTAAGCTCAGTATACCGCGAGCTACAGCTCGCGGTATACTGAGACGCCGGAGCGGATCCCGACATTGACGTCGAGATCCGCCCAGCTGCGTGAGTGACAGCTGGCTCTGCCTATCTAGAGGCAGAGCCAGCTGTACCCGCCCCCTCCCATTCCACCAGTCAGCGCTGGCAGATCGGAGCGGGGAGAGGGGAATCCAGCCCCTCCCCCTGTCACAGCAGAGAGCCGTGACAGGATCGAGAGGTGAGCGAACCCGGTATGTGTTCGCTCACCTCCCGATCTACTGAGCCGACCTGTGACAGTCTCATTGTCACAGGTCGGCTAGAACTATGAGGTGAGTGAAAATCACTCATCTCATAGTTCTCCTTTAAGATCTACAAGTCAAACTATCTTAGCCATTCCCGTTTTAATGTTTGCAACCATCTTTACTCCTGATCACTGAGGTAAGAGAGACCACCAGATAACTGGGAATGTTAGTCATGTGTTGCTGTAGAATAGGGGTGTCAAACTCAATTTAATCGTGGGCCGCATCAACATTATGGTTGCCCTCAAAAGGCCGGTTGTATCTGTAAGACTATATAAATGTATCTAATCTTTATCATAATTGCCTCTGCATTCGATTATCACTGGTTTTAGTAATAACTTAATACCTAGATCTGAAAGTAGAAGTCTAGGAAATGGCCTTGTGGGCGGGATTCGGCCCCTGGGCCTTGAATTTGACACATGTGCTGTAGACTCAGAGGGATAGTAGCTATATAATTGCACTCATAACAAAAAACAGTTGAGTACTTTATGTGATACTTGTATTTATTTGCATGTACAGCTCAGTATTGTCTCTCACGTTCCACATACAGTATAGTCAAAGCAATACCAGAGCTGTAACCCACAAATATGTTATGTCCCTCATAAAGGGAACAGATTGTGGTATAGAAGAGTGTTTATAAAACGTATAAAAAGGCCAAGGACAAAGTTTATTGCTCCTGTTAAAGGCGTATATTACACAATAGAAGAAAACCTTCCTCTAGTGCAGTGGTTCTCAACCTGTCTAACCTCAAGACCCACATTTGTCGTCGGTCATTAAGTCGCAACCCACGTTCCACTGCAATGGAACACACGGCAGTGTGGGCTGCTGTGCTGTAATGGAGCTCCATCCATATGTGCATTGCTTGTACAGTTCCCATGCACACCCTGTCACTCCAGTCCAGGCACCGCTACAGGATATGCAAGGGAGCTATAAGCAATGCATGTATGGATGGAGCTCCCTGGCAGCCATACCACCAGTGCACCCCACCTCAAGCTGACACTCAGTTCCAGGCAGCATATTCTGAATGGCTGCTCAGTGGGAGAACTGATATTGCTGCACTACAAGGAGGCTGGAAAGCCTCTCGCCAAGAAAAGTGGAAGGCATGAGGCGACCCACTGAACACGGGGTCGCGACCCACTTTTGGGTCACGACCCACCAGTTGAGAACCAAGGCTCTAGTGGATGCATTGTATGCTTGCATGGTTCTGTGTATTGCTTGACATGTTGCATCACTCATTGAAGATTGAAGTAGAACTCAAGCCCAAACTATTTAAAAAAAATAAAAATAAAGTAAGGGACGGCTTTAACCCATTAACTTTTTTTGCCATCTGTCTCCCATTGGGGAGATTTCCCTACACTTCCTGTCCAACAGCCACAACAGGAAGTGAGAGGAAATCCCTTTAAAGAGAGCAAAAAGCCTGCTGGTCACCAAGGTCACCAGAACTGTCCCAATCAGAAGATTTCCCATATATTCCTGTTCTGATGACAACCCAAAATTTGGGATGTTCTTTTACTTTTAGTGATAATGCTCACCAGGGTGAATCTCCCCGACAGGGACACAGAGAGCAATAGAAACCTGACATACAACACGCTGTCCAGCACAATTCCATAAAATCAGTGTAGTAGGGTGCGCGACCAACAGTGGCACCGTATAAAACCAAAGCAAAAATAGCCAGTACTCCTTAAACACTATGGGGGCCTATTTATAAACCATTTATAACGCCATTCAGCCTGTGAATCTCTGTGAACGTTCATTATGTGTGAAAAGACTAAAAAACTAACACACTCAGGATTTTTTCTTTTCAGGTCAAATGTAATGTAATACTGCATTATGACCGGTAAGTACTTATTTCCTATGCTCCTCAGCGCCATCCAGTGGCCATAATGTGGTGTTTTCCAAATATTACATGCGATTCATTTTTGCTTCTATTCGCACATAACAAACGTTCACAAAGATTCTCAGGGCAAATGACTCTGTGATTTGTTTACAAATAGCTGTATTAAAAAAAAAACACCCCTAAGTGTTGAAAATAGGAGGTGTTGTTAGTAGGAATGCACCGATACCGTTTTTGGCATCCGGGACGAATACTGATTTTTTGCTTACGGTACTTGCCGATACCGAGTACCGATATCGGTGCTTCCGGTGGCATGGAGCCAGCTTCCCGGGCAATCAGGAAGCTGGGCAGTGGGTAATGACATGCCACTCGGCTCCATAATTGCGCGGAAAGCCAACTCCATGTTGTTTGGCCAGCTCGAATGTGATTGGCCAGGAAACCAGGAAAAGCCAATCAGCATCGAGCCAGCTTCCCACCCAATCAGGAAGACAGGGGGGGCGCGTTCATTACTCGCTGCCCGGCTTCATGATTGCCTGGTAAGCCGGCTCCATGTCCCCCTACGGCACTGCTGGTCAGAGGAAATCTTCATCTGACCGGAAGTTCCAGTATCAGGGAAGGTAGCGGAGCATTTGAGCGAGAAGAAGTACTTGGTCAGATACTCGGTATCGGCACCAATACTAGTATTGGTATCGGTGCATCCCTAGTTGTTCGCATATATTTGCAAATCTATGTTGAAGCCCCACTGCCCCATCAAGACCCCTGTGTATAGTGTTGTCCCTAATCTAACTAAGCTCTCATCCTGGTACATACACAGCAATAAATAGATTGAAGGCAGGTATGCCTAGAGGCAACACATTCCTCCTTAAAAGGTGCAGAGACACTAAAAGCCCCGCACAGCACACAAGCAGCGCAAGACCTCCAGTGTGTCTCTGCAATCAATAACTATCTCCCCCTTCATTCCAGCGGTCTAAAGACCTGCGAGTCATCACGTCGAATGCAGTGTATTGGACGTGAGGACGCTGAGGGACTTTCCAGAGGGGAGAAAGGTTGCAGGGACCGAGGATCGGGCGAGTATTGCTTTGTTATTCTACACCCTAAATGAAAGGAGCAATTAACCCTTACAGTGCAGTTGTAGCCCCACTGCAGGGGTTATTTTTGTTTCTGCCCAGAGTTGTTCTTTTCGTTTAACCTGTGAGCTTAACAAAAAAATAAGACAGATTCCTCCATCCATGCTAAACATTGTGGATGGATGAATCTCCCGCTGGGCTATTGTATTGTGACAACTGATTGGTTCCTGTCACTATTTGCCGACCGCTTCCTTTGATTTTCTGATCGAAGGATTCCAGACGGAACAGAAGGCGAGCCGACAGGGCCACCCAATGAATGACATTTTGTTGGCTCATTAAGACCTGTCTGAAATTCGTACAGTGTATGACAAGATTTAGTCTAAAGCAATGGTTCTCAACCTGTGAAACCTCAGGAGCCACATTTGTCCTTGTTCATTAAGTCGCAACCCAAGTGGCACTGCATTGCAGTACCGCGTGTTTCGGTGCAGGCAATTGAGCTGTGTTCGGGGTGCCATTCAAATAAATGGCAACACAATGCACCTCCAGCACCAGAACGCATAGTAGGTGTGATTGCATAGTACAGTGCATTAATGGCACAGGACTGTTCGATTAATACACTGTACCAGTGTGAACGGGCCCTCAAAAACACGGACAGATACACACAACTACAGACAAATTCTGTGACATGAGATTGTAGTCCATCACAGGAGCGAGCTTGGAGTGGTGACTACTTTACAACACACACAGGAGCAATGGGGAACAAAAGTAGCCAACCTTCAGAAGGATCCTTCCTTGGCACCAATACAGTGTTGGCACCAATTCAGAGATGACTGGAGGATCTATGATATATGACTAAAGTCCAATATTGTTAATTGTTCAGGTACTTGAATGCATTTGTAAGATTTAACTGCTGAGTTTAGTGTCACTTTAAACATCTACATGACACACAAATGCATAACACCATGTTTGACTTATGTCTGCGCTCGGGTTTTTCATCAATCACCATTGGAAACTGCCAGCTATTACCAGTGACACCATACAACTCATCATGTCACTCGTGTCACTCATTCCACCTACCTACATCTAGGACAGCATCAGGACACAGAGGACACGTCTCCCAGTCCAGCTTTGCAATCACAGGACACAGATAGCACAAGGGGGTTCTCTGTTTTGTGTTATCTTTATTTGTGTCGTCATTGTGTCCTTTTAGCTTTGTATTATAAGATGGAAGTAGATTTAATGAATATATGTGGATTATTCATAGAGCACCTGTAAAGTCCATGTCATTAATGGATGCACACAAAAATCATTTTCTATATAAGGGATGTGGTGTGATTGACTTGACTTTGGTCGGTCTGCCAAATGATAGTACTTATAGCACAAGGGAGGTGTGCCGAGTGACACCATGAGTTGCATGGAGTCACTGGTAATAGCGGTCAGTTTACAATGCTGATTGCTGGGTAAGCGGCGCACGGACAGCAGCCAGACATGGTGCTATGCATTTATAAAGGTGTCATATGGATGTTTAATGTCCATAGAGTAATTCTACAGTAAACTTTCATGTTAATGGAGCTGCTTGATACCTGGAGATTAGGGATGAGCATGCATTTGGTGCAGACCAAGCTCACCCACGTATGTGCAAAACTGTCAGTGACACATCCCCTTCCTGACCCAATCAGCCACGGCATTCATCACCCCTATGTGTAGTTGCGGGGGTGGGGAATACCCTGGCCACGGCTGATTTTTCTGGGAAGTGGATGTGACACTGACAATTAGCACGGACTCCAGTGAATTCAGTTCGCACCATGCCCACACACATCCCTCACATCCCTACTGAAGATCGATATGGATGTGTGAGTATTGAAGCTCAGTACAATTTCTTCACATTCTGACTGTGGCACCTCAATAAGGTGAGAATCCCTATTTATAAACATGTCTTGTACTTTCAAGGGATTATCTTCCTGTGTAAAGCTGTTACGGGAAATGCTGACCACTGACGACATTCTCGTATTCATCTCCTATGAGAACAAGCTGTGGAATAGAAGAGAACGAGAGCTCACCATCCTGCCAGTACACGATCACCTAATACCGAGCACTCAACCCTCCGCTTCTGGAACCGCGGGAAAATTCAGTCCCGCTACAAGCTCCGCCCAGCAACCGATCCTATGCAGCTGATTGGTCTGCGCAGGAGCTCCCTTCATCACTCTATAGGCTCACTAAGATATGACGGTAATTACATTCCTTTCCGGTCGGATATAAACAGAAGGGGAGCGCATGCGTATGCGGCGGCCATTTTTTTGGAGCCCAACACCGCAGCACGAAATACGTTCACTAAAACGTTGATGTCGCAATCAATAGCACTCCATTGTTAACTGCACGTCGTTTTTTTCTATTACACAAACTATTATGAATGAATATTTATTTCTGGTGTTCGAAATGACAATAAAGACCCTCTGTTATGACCCACTGTATATGCCAGGGGTCCTCAAACTTTTTCAACATGGGGCCAGTTCACTGTCCCTCAGACATTGCTGGGGGCCGGTGACACATCACCGGATCATAGTTTGAAAAACAGGGGGGCGTGGCTGTGGTACCGCACCACCATGCCCCCTCCCGTCCCAGAACAAAAGGTTTTTTTTACATTACGTTAGGAAACATTTATTATCACCCAATTTTTTGGTAAAATATAAAAGTCGGGTAAATAGACACCAAACATGTCAAGCTTACAAATTGCGCGCACTCGCAAAATCGCAAAAAAGCACCATACCCAAAACTGACCATAGGCGACGCTTTAAAAGCTTTTACCGCTCATCAGTTTAGTGTTATCAGTGATTGATGACCCTAAAATTATTGCTCTCACTGCGACGTTTGCGGCGATATGTAACATGTGCGGCGTAATGGGCGCAATCGTTGTTTTCGCAGGTATGCGCACCTGACGCATGTTTGCATGCATGTATGAATCGGGGGACTTTAAAAAAAAATATTTGTTTTTTTAATTCTTTTTTATGTGTAACTTTAAAAAA